GGAGTTTTGATTATGGTAACTTTATGTTGGGTCACTGATCAGTCAGCTATTAAATAAAATACAGTTTCCATGAAAAAACACCAGCAGCATCATAGCTAACTGTAACACTCCAAATTGAAGGGAAATTACATTTGGCATCTCTGTTATCCAAATACATAAATTACATTGGCTGATTAATCCTGAAGGCATTTTAAACCATTAAACATATTTAATGAAAGCAGAACCTGATGAGGTGGTAGAATGTATCTTTCACTGAAGGAAGTAAATAAAATTGTCAAATAATTCTGCCTCTAGCTCTGTATCCCTTGCAGTTAAGGCTTTAGCAAAATATTGAGAAAATCAGTGCTTAGATTACATTTTTAAGTTATTTTATTTTTAATGCAATCTAGAGTATTCACTGATGGGGGGGCACAGTCTCTGATGGGGGTGCTGCATTGCGTGAGTGCTGCATTGATGGAGTGCTAAGAAGCAGTTAAACACAGCAGTTGAACTAAAGCAGGAGAACTCAAGCAGCAGGAAGACACAACAACAGCAAGAAACTCTACTGCACGCTGGACAGACTGCAAGCAAACACCCCGGGAAACATCTCTTACAAGTCTGAGTCCCTCTCCGTGTACCTTTTAATATGTCCCCTCTACTCCTCCTTTTCATATTTCTTTCTTGTGTTCCCAAAATCTCATTTCTTTACCCCTCTGCTCCACCCCAAAACTTGTACATCTCACCCTCACTGCTACCATCTCCCTACTACTGCTCTCATCACCTCCTGCTGATACTTCACTCTCCTGCTGACCCAAACACCAGGACAGGAAGGCATGTGCACTTGTGTACATCCCGCTCCCATCTTACCTTCCTCACACTTCTTCTTCTCCTAACCTCTGGGGATATCTCCCTAAACCCTGGTGTGTCACCACCTCACTCACCCACTAGGCACCCTCCTACTCCAACAAACCGCCGCAACCCCTTCAACCTTATACCTGTCCCCCTCCTCCCCGCATCCACCCCTCTCGGTTGCACTGCTGAACGCCCAATCGGTTTGCAACAAGCTCACCACCATCCATGACCTCTTTATCTCCCACTTCCTCAACCTCCTAGCGGTCACAGAAACCTGGATCCAAGCCACTGACTCTGCCTCCCCTGCGGCACTCTCCTATGGAGGTCTCGTCTGGTCACATTCACCCAGACCGAGCGGTCGTAGAGGTGGTGGAGTTGGCGTGCTCTTGTCACCACTGACCACCTTCCAGGTCCTCCCAAACCCCCCCTCTCTATCTTTCTCCTCCTTCGAGGCCCACTGCATCCGATTCTTCTCTCCCACCCCTCTGAGGATTGCAGTAATCTATCGGCCTCCTGGATCTGTATCCCACTTCCTTGACGACTTTTCCGCCTGGTTGCCCTTCTTCCTCTCCTCTGAGCTACCCACCATTCACCACAACCTCATTACGTTCTCCATCTCCCCATCCTATAACGCCTCCCCCCCAAATGTCAAACCATCACCAGCCGTAACCTCCGCAACCTGAACCCGGCCCCTCTCTCCCCAGCCCCCTCTCCACTCTGCAGCTGACCGTCTGTACGACAGTATCCTTCCACTGTCATGCCCTGACCTGGCCACTACTGAGTATAATGACTCGCTGTCAGCTGCCTTAGACTCCTTAGCACCCCTAACCACACGTATCATTAGACCCCGACCGCTTCAACCCTGGCAGAACGACCACACTAAATATCTTAAACGATGCAGTCGTGCGCTGGAGCGATTATGGCGCAAAACCAGATCCCCTCGAGCGTTCTCCCTCTACAAATCCGCCTTCCTCACCTACTCCTCCTCCCTCCACGCCGCCAAACAAGCCTACTTCGTAACCCTCATCAACACCCTCTCCACCTGTCCCCACCGGCTCTTCTCCACTTTCAACTCCCTACTCTCTCCCCCCCCCACCCCCACCCAGTACCTCACTTACCGCCCACGAGATTGCCAATCACTTCCAAAATAAGATCAACACAATCCGAAAGGACATCGCCAATGCTCAACCTACCTCCCCACCTAGCTTCCCTCCCACTATAACCCCATCAACACTCCCTTCCTCTGACCTCGCAACCCCCTGCCCCCCACCACACCTAACGTCCCGGACACTATAACCTCCCCAACACTCCACTCCTTCAGCCTTGCTACCACTGAGGAGGTTACTAAGGTCTTCTCAGAAGCCCACCTCATTACTTGCCCCCTTGACCCTGTCCCCACACCCCCTCTGGTCACCCTCCTCCTCCATCCTATGCTCCCTCACCCACATCTTCAATCTCTCCCTCTCTACTGGCGCATTCCCCTCCCCCCTAAAGCACGCGCACATCACCCCCATACTCAAAAAACCCTCCCTGGACCCCAACAACCTGAACAACCTTAGACCCATCTCCCTGCTGCCATTTACTTCCAAACTCCTTGAGCGCTTAGTCTACAATCGCCTAAGCGCCCACCTCACTGACAACAACCTCCTCGATCCACTACAGTCTGGCTTCCATCCCCTACACTCCACCGAAACCGCCCTACTCAAAATCACTAATGACCTGCTAACCGCCAAAGCTAATGGCCACTACTTAGTCCTCCTACTCCTTGACCTCGCCGCAGCCTTTGACACAGTCGACCACCCCCTCCTTCTTAATAAACTACACTCCCTTGGCATCAGAGACTCCTCTCTCTCCTGGCTCTCCTCCTATCTATCCCAACGCTCCTTCAGCGTTACCTATAACGCTACCACCTCCCTCCCCCTCTCTGTTGGGGTCCCCCAAGGCTCTGTCCTCGGGCCCCTTCTCTTCTCCATCTACACCTCCTCCCTCGCCAAACTGATATACTCCCACGGCTTCAATTATCACCTCTATGCCGATGACACGCAAATTTACCTCTCCACCCCCTCAACGCACCCCTTCAGTCTCCGCCCGTATCACCCACCTAATGAACGACATATCAGACTGGATGTCGCTCCATTTCCTCAAACTGAACCTTTCCAAAACCGAGCTCCTGATTTTCCCCCCAGCCCGTGCGCCCCACCCTCTCCATCATGACCAACAACGCCACCATCAGTCCCACCCCACAAGCCAAAGTCCTAGGTGTAACTCTAGACTCAAACCTGTCCTTCCAACCCCATGTCCAATCGTTGGCAAACTCATGCAGGCTCCACAATATCGCCAAAATACGTTCGTTCCTAACCCCAGACACTACTAAACTACTCGTTCACTCCCTTATTATCTCATGTCTGGACTACTGCAACTCCCTTCTCACTGGCCTACCTCATCGCAGACTATCCCCTCTTCAGTCTATCCTGAACTCGGCAGCCAGACTCATCCACCTCACCAACCTCTCCGCTTCTGCCACCCCCCTCTGTCATTCCCTCCACTGGCTCCCGATTGCCCAACGCATTAAATTCAAACTACTAACATTGACGTACAAAGCCATTCATAATGCTGCCCCAAACTACCTCACCGACCTGATACCCAAATACCACCCTACCCGTAATCTTCGCTCCTCACAAGACCTCCTACTTTCTAGCTCCCTGGTCTCCACCTCCCTCGCCCGACTGCAGGACTTCTCCAGGACTTCCCCCATCCTCTGGAACTCACTACCCCCAATCCATCAGACTGTCACCTACCCTCCTCACCTTTAGGCACACCCTGAAAACCCATCTCTTCAGGGAAGCCTACCCCGCCCTCACCTAACAGCCGATCTCCTCCTCTCCTCCCACCACTCCATCCCCCACAGCTACTTCCTCCTGTACCACTATCCCCTCCCTCCTAGATTGTAAGCTCGAAAGAGCAGGGCCCTTGAATCCCACGTGTTCTTTTTTGTTACTGTATTGTCTCATGTACTGTCCCCCACTATAATGTACAGCGCTGAGCAAACCTTTTAGCGCTATATAAATACTGTATAATAATAATATATGTATATATATATATTTATATATATATATATAAAGGTATGTAAACAAACCCAAGTAAAAAAAAAAAACAGATTCTGCATATTGATTTGAATGGGCCTTTTAAAGCAGCACAAAAGGTACTTTTATCTCAAAAAAAAAATCTCAGCTACTTATATGAAGGCCATAAATTGTTGGTAAATGTGTCTGGAAAGCTGTAGGTAGAAGGAAGGTCTGGGAATACTACACGCTCAAAGTATTTCGATTTTTTTTTCTCTGCATGTAGCATACAGAATATCTGTAACTGGTTAATATACTTCAGAATGCCCTTCATTAATACTTATATGTATGAAAAGGCTGGGTGCAAGTTGCATAGTTTATACTTCCACGTTGGGGGATTTACTAAAACTGGAGCACACAGAATGTGGTGCAGGTGTGCATAGTAACCATTCAGCTTCTAGATTTTATTTGTCAAAGCTTAACTGAACAAGCTAAATTTGGCAGCTGATTAGTTACTATGCACAGCTGCACCAGATTTTGTGTGCTCCAATTTTAGTAAATCTCTCCCAGATTAGGTATAAAGGCACCCAACCATAAACAGAAATGGAAAAACCACATTCAGTGAATCAAGAAAGGAGGAATATGATGCCTCTAAGATCCTGGTAAAAAGCACAGACATGCAAGAGCTATTAGGCTTTTATATTAAAAAAGCTGACAGTGCTTTGGGGGTTAACCCTGCACAACTCTTCGGTTTATGGCGCCGATATGGTTCTTCCCTTGACTCTGCTCCAACTCCATGTTTCCACCAGTAAATCATGCAAGGAATAAGCACTAATTCTGTAGTATTCCCAAAACTTTAACCACTAGCCTACAGGGCACTTATACCCCCTTCCTGCCCAGGCCAATTTCCAGCTTTCAGCGCTGTTGCACTTTGACAATTGCGCGGTCATGCAACACTGTACCCATATGACATTTTTATAATTTTTTTGTGACAGATAGAGCTTTCTTTTGGTGGTATTTAATCACCTCTGGATTTTTAATTTTTTCTTAAACAGACCAAAAACAACTGAAAATTTTGAAAAAAAAAGTGTTTTCTTAGTTTTTGTTATAAAATTTTGTAAATAAGTGATTTTTCTCTCCTTCACTGATGTGCACTAATGAGGCTGCAGTGATGGGCACTGATAGGCTGCACTGATGGGCACTGATAGGTGGCACTGATGGGCAATGATGAGGAGGCAGGCACTGGCAGGCATCACTGATGGGCACTGAAAGGCAGCGCTCATATATGGCACTGATAGGCGGCACAGATAAGTGGCACTGATAAGCAGCACTGACTGGCACTGATAGGCGGCACTGACTGGCACTGTTAGGTGGCACTGACTGGCACTGTTAGGCAGCACTGATAGGCAGAAGTGACGGGCACTGATAGACGGCACTGACTGGCACTGATAGGTTGCACTGATTGGCAGCACTGATAGGTGGCACTGACTGGCATTGATAGGTGGCACTGACTGGCACTGATGGGTGACACTGAAAGGCAGCTCAGCTGGGCACTGATATGCGGCATTGATGTGGCACTGATGGGCACTGGCAGGTTGCATGGATGAGCACTGAGAGCTGGCACTGATGGACAGCGACAGGTGGCTTTGCTGGGGCTACACAGATGATCAGGGCACACTGATCATCAGTGCTCTGATGATCTGTGTAGATGTCCCCAGCGAGGAATACAGATTACCAGCTCTCCTCTCCCTCACGAGCTGTCAGCGTGACAGCTCATGAGGAGAGAAATGCCGATAACTGGCATTTCCCTGTTTACATGTGATCAGCTGTGATTGAACACAGCTGATCACATGACCGAGCCAACATCTTCAGCTCTTTCCGTGGACCGGTGAACCGCTGTGTCCGAGGGAGCGCACTGCTGATCACCGCACTGCGCACTCCGGGAGCCGTGCATGCGCAGTTAGAATGGGAGGACGTCATATGACGTCCTCCCAGAATGAGAGAACCACCTTGCCTCCGTCATATTACTATATGGCGGGTGGGAGGCGGTTAAGATAATATTAAAATTAAACTAATGCACTCACAATAGTTTAAAAATTGCATAGCCGTCAAAGAAGCAATCCCGGAGCTGCAGCAATCCTGGTATATGGATGTTTCAGCCAGTGGCCATGTAGCGTGCTGACATCACACAAAGTTCCTGCCAATGCACTTCATCATCATTTGACGTTGTTATTTATTATGTTGAGGGATTGTATCTATTCCTGTGTTAGCTGCTTTTTATGTATTATTTAGTATGAGCCCAAAGATTTATTTTGAGTTTTTAATAAAGGCACTCATCACTAAAACAAAACACATATTCTAGTCCTCCATCACTTAAAGCATTCAAAGCTTAAAGTGTATGTTAAGCCAGTAGTTTTACGTTTTTATATTTTAAATAAAGTGGGAAAGGGTCAGAACCCTGTTCTGAAATCCAGGGCTCAGTTTGAGAAATTTCCTTTTTGGGTCTTGCCCTGCTGACAACTTTTTATCTGGCAGGGAGTGAAGATTTTCTCCACAGACATCAATAAAAATGCATTTTAAATGGGGTAGACTAAAGAATACTAAATCTCCTGTTACTGTACATGTGTTGCTTCTGTTTGTGTCTCTGTTGCAGATTTTCCCTCATGTCTTGTCTGATGCAACTGCCACCATGACAAAAAAGTAAGGTAAAATCTCTCTTGTGGAGCCATGGACAGTAGCAAAGACCTGATGGGGATGCTACCTATAAATGCCATACTTGCCAGCAAGACTGTGTAGCACCAAAAAAAGGTCTGAAACCCTGGTAGGAAATTTCCCTTTTCTAAGAAAAAGCCATAGGAAGTGCAATTTGAGAATACAACTAAAGCTAGCCATACTGTAGATGGGTAGAATTCTTAGAAAAGAATGTTCTAAGAAAGTTCATCTATTTTTCTAATCATTATTGGCTCAAATTGATGTTTTGTTTTTGACAAGTGATATGAAAATCCACAGGAGCAGGATGGAAAATGTTTTTGTTAGGTAATGTCTATGCATTCCAAAATCAAATGTTAAACGCAAATTAAATCTTTCAAATGACAATTGAATGTTTTGTGAATTTTCATATAATTTTTTCTAAGACTTTTCATAATAATTTTTGTTCAAAATCCTCTCCATCTATGGCAAGCTTGATTCTATGATGCTTTACATTCCATGTTGGTTCAGATTATACTTTTTTCAACTGCTGTAGTTGGATTGTTCACCTTTGCCTGAGTCCCATATCATGTTTCATAGTTCACGAAATTGTGGTTGCTGGCTAATTGGTATTAGAATGTATAGGAATATTGTTTTTTGCTAGCTTAAAGTAAATAGTGGACATGATTACATCACCCCAATGAGCTCCTTAAGTAGACTCATTGGACAAAATGTCTTGCGCATGGCAGAAAAAACTATCAGGTAGCCCAAGAAACATCATCATGCATACTTACTGTATGTACTGGGGACATTACACATGCGTATCATAGTTTGAAGTGATCGTGGCATGTATGCTTGTTGTTTTGTGTTGTTATAGAGCAATAAAAAGTGAGTTTTATCCTTTGATTTTAAGTGTATTTCAACAATATATCAATTGCTTTACACTATGTGGGTTTTTTAATTTGTATTGCTTTTTTAGTTACATTACTACATACACAGAAGGTAAGGTTGAAAAAAGACATCCTATGCAACGTGTGTGTGTGTTGCTAGGCATTCCAATACCCTTGGTTGAGCTATATTGTAGCAAAAATGACTTTTTAGGGCATATTTTAAAGAGATAATGGTAAACAAAGACAAATATGGTTAAACATCCAGACTTCATAGTACAGTCTACAGTCATAGTACAAAAAGACACATACTGTATGTGAGCACACCCATGTATTTTACTTGAAGAAGGTTTACATATTCCTTGTACAAAGCCGTTATTGTTACATAAAGCAGTCCACATGAAGGCTCAACACATTTTGAATATTCGCTATCTTCTTCAGGAGCACATGTGAACCAAATCTAAAAGTATGCAATACATTATTATAGAAACACAGCTGTGAGGCATATACACATGAAAGAACAAAGTTCTAGAATCCACAAACATATTACCTACAACATGGATCAATCATAAACACAGTAAATACAGGCCATCACTCCTAAAATATCCTCCAGGAGAACTAAATTCTCCAAAGAGTAGAGAAAAGCATTTTATGGATTACAAAGCACCATATACTGTATGACACAAGAGACTCCTGGGATACTGCCCAAATGTGTTCTGATTAAAAGAAATCATAGAAAGCAGATTATTCAACCAGATATGCAGATAATAATCACTAGGAGGTATTTACAAGGAAACATGTACTGTATGTGTATTGTAAGTAGATGCATGTATAACCAAGATTTCAATTCCCAGCAAGAGCCGAACAGAAAAAGAACCCTTCGTCATGCTTAAACATAGCATGTAGCTTAACTATTAAATATTTTAGTGCATAAATTCATCTTAATTCACACTGTAATAGACTTTTATTCCATGCTCTCCCCCTTTCTGGCTAGGATGTTGTCTGTAAAATGCTAAAAAATTTGACTGGAGGTACCTGATATTTGTGTTTGTTCACTACATATCAGGTACCTCCAGTCACATTTAAAAAAAAAAAAAAAAAAAATATATATATATATACTGTATATATATACACATACAGTTAGGTCCATATATATCTGAACACAGGCACAATTTTCAATTTTTTTTTAGGTATTTACCAAAATATATTCAAGCTACAGTTATATAATGGATATGGGCTGAAAATACACACTCTCAGGTTTAATTTGAGGGTATGTACATTCACATGTAATTTGACAATTGAATATAATCATAAATAAAATGTTCATTTTTAATATTTAATATGTTGAGAATCCTATACTGGCACTGACTGCCTGAGGTCTGGAACCCATAGACATTACCAAAGACAGGGTTTCCTTCTTTCTGATGCTTTGCCAGGCTCTAACTGCAGCTGTCTTCAGTTGATCTTTGTATGTGTGTCTTTCTCATTTAGTTTTGTCTTCAGCAAGTGAAATGCATGCTCAATTAGGTTAAGATCAGGTGATTTACTCGGCCATTGAATATTCCACTTCTTTTCCTTCACTGCTTTTGAAGTGGGTTTTGGATCATTTTCCATTTGTACTGTGAAGTGCTGTCCAATCAACTTTGCTGCATTTGGATGAACCTGGGCTGACATATCTCTAAACACTGCAGAATTCATCCGACTGCTTCTGTCTTCTGTCACTTCATCAATAAACACCAATGACCCAGTGCCACTGGAAGCCATGCATGCTCATCACACTGCCTCCACCATGTTTTACAGGTGACTTTGTGTGCTTTTAGATCATGAGCTGTTCCAAGCCTTCTCCACACTTTTTTCTTGATGTCTTTCTGGTACAGATTAATCTAAGTTTCATCCATCCAAAGAATGCTTTTCCAGAACTGGTCTGGATTTTTTAGATGTTTTTTGCCAAAGTCTAATCAGGCTTTTCTATTCTTCAGGCTTATGAATGGTTTGCACCTTGTGGTGAACCCTCTGTATTTGCTCTTGTGAAGTCTTCTCTTGATTATAGACTTTAACAATGATACACCCACCTCCTGGAGAGTGTCCTTCACTTGTCTGGATGTTGTAATGGGTTTTTCTTTACCATAGGGATGATCCTGCGATCATCCACCACTGTTTTCTTCCATGGACGTCTATGCCTTTTTATGTTGCTGAGCTCACCAGTGCATTCTTCTTTCCTCAGAATGTACCATTGGGGTGGGCTGGGGTGGGGTTGGAAGCGGACCTGGGCAAGGTTGGGTGGGGCAACTGGTGGAGAGTAAGGTTTGTGCCTGGCTAGTAGGTCTAGACTCAAAAATTTTAAGCCCTGTATATACATATATATATATATATATATATATTCCCTGTGCTCATAGCATGAGTATGATCGTAGATTCATTTCCACCATAGTCTACAAGTCATCCTCACTTTAACCAATTCAATATCGTGCAATTTTACACCTTCCTGCCCAGTCCATTTTTCAGGTTTCAGTGCTCTCACACTTTGAATGACAATTGCGCAGTCATACAACATTGTACCCAAACTAAAAATTTTATCATTTTCTTCACACAACTAGAGCTTTCTTTTGGTGGTTATTTATCATCGCTGGGGTTTTTATTTTTTGCTAAATTAACAAAAAAGACCAAAAATTTTGAAAAAAAAAAAACACGTTTTTCTTTGTTTCTGTTATAAAAGTTTGCAAATAAATAATTGTTCTTCATAAATTTAGGCTGAGATGTATTCTACTACATGTCTTTGGTGAAAATAACCCAAATTAGGATGTATCTTTTAGTTTGTAGGAAAGTTATAGAGTTCACAAACTATGGTATAGATCTGAATATTGATCAATCCTGAAGTACTGACAGCCAATCTAATTTC